TCCTAAAGGATTAAATAATTTAATCCTATTTTTAAAGGGGAAATTATACTTTTAAGTAATTTCACCAACAATTCTTTCATTATTTTTCATCACTGAACAGCTCAGTGAATTGGATATATAACTGAAAAAACCAAAACAAACAACAAATAAAAAACTCATCTAAATATGAAAAAAGTTCTGAAAATCAAAGCAATAAACACAATTGAAAAAAAATCATTGAATTGATAAATAAAACTAGGATCTGTAAAAACAAAAACAAAAAGACAAACCATTAGCCAATTGATTTAAAAAAGAAAACCAAATTGCCAACGTAAACATGAATAAGAATTCAGAACAGATGAAGATGAAACAAGCAAAATCATTAGAAGTTCTTTTGCTTGATTATATGCTAACAAAATGATAAATGAAATGGATAAGTATTTACAAAATCACAGAATACCAAGATTAAACTCTATTTCATGTTTTGTTAAACACTCCAGTTTTAAAGATGAAATTGAACCATCCATAAAACTCTTGAAAAAACTCAGATGGATTTACAAAGTGAATTCTCTCAAACGTTCCAAAAATAATTAAATCCAATATTACCTAATTGTTTGGGGGGGAAAAAAGTGGAGTGAAGGGATTCTATCAAATTCTTATGAAATAGACATGGTCCTGATAACAGAGGCAGGGAAAGAAACTAGACTATCTCTAATGAACTTCAGTGTAAAACTATTGAATAAAATATTGGCAAAAGGGTTGTAGCAATATTTTTAAAAATTATTCACTATGACTAGTTTGGATATATAGTAGGAATGCAAGGTTGGTTCAATATTAGGAAAACGAGAAACATATCAGATCATATTGATATCAAAACAACAAAAACCATGCAATTATGTCTGTAAATATAGAGGAACATGGCAAAATATGATATCTATACTTATTTTGAAAACACTGAAAAGCATAAGAATTTTTATTATGATAAATAGTGTCTGAAACTGAGAAGTCAGCCTTATTTCTAGTGGAAAAACACAAGGTCTTTCCAGTTTTATCAGGGATAAAAATAAAGATGTCCATTGTTACCCCTGTTAGCATAGGTTAGAAGTGGTAGCTATAGCAAAAAAGACAAGGTGAAAGAAATTGTGAGAATAAGCATAGGACAGGAAGAAACAAAATTATCACTTTTTGCAGATGGCATGATGATTTGCCCTATAGATTCAACAAAAAATAATTGGAGCAGTTAATAACTTTAGCAAAGTACAGAACATAAAACAAACCTACAAAAATCATCAGGCCTTCTGTATGTAGCCATCAAAATTCATCAGGAAGAGGCAGGAAAAAAAATTCCATTCAAAGCAACTACAGAATATATAAAAATATTTGGGATTCCACCTTCTGAGAAACATGTAAGAATTATATGGATACAAATACAAAATAATCTTTACTGAAATGAAAGAAGATTTAAATGATTGGAGAGAGAATAATTGCTCATAGTTGCATTATTATAATAAAAATAAGAATATACCAAAATCCAACATTGCATTTAGTGTCATACCAATCAGACCATCAAAGTTCTGTTCTATACTTTAGAAACTTAGACCAGGAAACAACAGACTGTGGCCTGAGGGAACGCCTCTGTGGATAAACAAATTTCCAGCCACTCTTTTCTGTTGTAGCTAAGAGATGGAAAGAGTATCCAATAATGGAGGAAAGGCTGAAAAAATTGTGGTATCTAAAGGTAATGGAATATTAATGACTAGAACATTTTGGAAAACAACTTTGAAAGACTTAAGCTTTTTGATCAGTCATGACTCCAGAAGACTAATGATTAGTTGTGCTTCCCACCTTAGAGAAGTGGATGGACTGTAATTGCAGAATGCAACATATATTTTTAGACATGTTGTTGAGTCGTTTCAGTTGTGTCGGACTCTCCATGTCCTCATTTGTGGTTTTCTTGGCAGAGACACTGGAGTGATTTGGCATTTCCTTCTCTGACTCATTTTACAGATGAGGAAACTAAGGCAAGCAGGTTAAGTGACTTGCCCAGGGTCACACAGCTAGTAAGTTATCTGAAGCTGAATTTGAACCTAGGTCTTCCTGTCTTCAGGGCCAGAGCTCTATCCACTGAGCTACCTAGCTGACCAGTGTAGAATTTAAAAAAAAAAATTTTTTTTTGCTCAACTACTTATTGGTTATGTTGGAAGACTAAAGGGAGTTAATAATTGAGATACGAGAGAGAGAGAGAGAGAGAGAGAGAGAGAGAGAGAGAGAGAGAGAGAGAGAGAGAGAAGGGAGATGAAGAACAGACAAAAGCTCCAAATGGCACATAGACAAGAAAGGCAGTGTTATTTCAGTGTTAAAATTTCATATATGCTTTTTAAAAACCACTCAGTTAGGTAATAGAAACTGATGATTTCATGTATGATCCTGTTTTTATGTCCTTTTACATGAAAGTGTTCATTTTTGTCAGATTTGTTGGGGAGGGAGGCCATGTGACAAAATAAAAAGAGAATCAGAATTGGAAGTTAGTTGATTGTCAGCAGCCCTGATAGGCGTCAAATAAAGACTTGTTGGATGGAAAAGGGAATGAATGGTGAAACTTGAGCAGCCCTCTTTTCCTTGTCTCCTTGCCATCAGCATTTCCCAGACTGATCCACCCAACCTTCCCCAGGTCATTTATTCATCACCATTCTACCTACCGGTAAATTGTTCAGTCTTTTTTTCAATTGTGTCCGATTCTTTGCTACCCGATTTGGGGTTTTCTTGGCAAAGATACTGGAGTGGTTTGCCATTTCTTTCTTCAGCTCATTTTACAGATGAGGAAACTGTGGCAAATAGGGTTAAGTGACTTGGCCAGGGTCACACAGCTAGTAAGTGTCTGATTCCAGATTTGGACTTGGGAAGAAGACTCTTCTTGACTCTAGGCCCGGCACTCTACCCACTGTACCACCTAGCTGCGCTTGTATTTAAATTCCTGGGTGAAGTGCTGTGGGATTTTCTAGGGGTGGAATCTTCTATGCTAGGAAAATACTTGAGTGAATGACAGAATGGAAGTTACGGGAAGCTATGACTGGGCTTCTGAAGGTGAAGTAGGTGCCGATACCTCGTATACCCCAAATCTATTTTGGCCGAAGGGAGGATGCGGTGTAGCCAGTTCCGGGTCACCTTCTGTCCACAGATCTGGATCTTGTCTGACCACAGGAACTGTAAGGCGGAAGGTCATGGTTCTGTATTGGGAGTTAATTTGTTACTTCTCAATCTTTTCTCCCCACCCACTCCCTCTTTCCCTTCCCCACAACCCTTGGCTCTGAGTGGGGCTGTCAGATTTCTGTTTGCTTAGTAAACACACTGCCTGGTGGCTTTGTTCTATTTTCTCAGTCTGAAGTGATCTGAGTTCCTGACCCTTTTAGCAGTAAGCTTCCTGGGCCTGCCTAGTAGAACTCATAGTTCTAACCCCTCTCACTTTTCTGCTTTACCTAAAGAGGTTTTTGTTCTCAGTCTTTTTTTCCCCCTTCTCTATAGCCGTCTCTTCCATCCCTACCCCTAGAAACTGGGAGTCCAGTGTTTCTCCCACACAGTGAAGCCTTATGCTCCAAATGCAGGACTCGGAGTCAGGAAGACTTAGGTTCTACTAGCACCTGTACCTTTGAAGCTTATCACCTATATGACCCTAGGCATTATGTGTTATTTCTCAGAATTAATGTGCTCTTTTATAAAAAGGGGATAATAATAGCATTTATCTCAAGGGGTTGTTGTAAGGATCAAATGTAATAATTTCTGTAAAGTGCTTTGCCTACTTTCTCGTTTTAAAAAAGAGGCTGTTGAAGGCCTGAATAGCCTATATGATTTGCCCAAGGTCAAGGTAGTGAATGTGACTGAGAAAAGATTTGAACCCATATTCTCTGACCCTCAATCCTATTTCTACTCGTGTTATAGTCTTATTATTGCCTTTCAAAGTTAGCTGTATTTATTATTTTTGGTTCCTTGTTATTCACTGAAAACTTTGGACCTGGGTTCTTTTTACTTTTAGGGGAGGGAGGTTGTTAGCTCAAATCTTTGTGAATATTGACTTTTGTATGCTTAGAGATGTCTTCCCAACCTTTTCTACATGAGTACTTGATGGCCTGTTGCCATAGGTGGGAGAGATTTTTGCTTGGATTCTTTATAGGATGCTGTCCTCTTTGGTGTGCTGTCCAGTGGGACGGGGGAAATTGTGTTTTTTACGTAGTGATTAGGTTCTGCAAATCTTCATCATTTGTGCTAGTCCCTTACAGGGTCCTGTCTTCATCTATATTCCAGCCTCTGCCATAATTTCCTTCCTGCCTTTCCCGTCTTCTTTGCTCCCTTTGGAGTACTCTATGATCTCATGATGCAGTTTTTGCTGTTCCTCAAACATAGCTTTCTATCTCTTGACTCCATGCTTTTGGGCGTGGGCTGTCCTCCTTGTCTGGAATGCTCTACCTCCTCACTTCTACCTCCTGGTTTTCTTGGCTTCCTCGAAGATTGAGCTCAAATTCCACCATCTTCAGGAGCTATGTTCCTGGTCCTCCCTGGCTGCTAGTACCTTCTTTCTGAGATTAATTTCTGTCTACTGTGTAAATACCTTGTGTGTACCAGTTATTTGCATATTGTCTCATCCGTTAGAATGTGAGCTCCTTGGGGGTGGGGACCATGTTTTTGCCTTTCTTTGTATCTCCAGCAGTTAGCATAGTGCCTGGCACCATAGTAAGTACTCAATTAATCTTTATTGATGGATAGATTTATTGAATAAGTGCCTATTGACTGACTTCTCTTTCAGAGGGGGTGAAGCTCAACCTTACAAGCTATGAACTACCCCCCACTGAACTTCTGAAACTTCCTCTAGCTCTTGAGATGCTATCTTGGAGTTAGGGACTTAAGGTTCTTGGAGTTTGCTAAGCAGAAATGACTTCTCTTCTAGTGAGTGCCTGTTTATTGACCCTGGCCTTAAAGCATCTGTTTAGTCTGAGACTGCCTCTGACCTTCCTGTTTTTTTCCTCTAGGCAAAACCCATTTATGGTGGCTGGCTGCTTCTTGCTCCAGAAGGGACTGATTTTGATAATCCTGTGCACAGGTCTCGGGTAAGGAAAAAATTGTGGTTCTTTTCCTTTGCATATTAAAACTCATTTTTCGAAATGGCTCCTTAACCTTAACTTGTTAGACTAGAAAATCAAGGGAGGATTTTGAAGTTTGTGAATAAGAGCAGAGTAAAGAAGAAATCTGGATAGGTGAAATACCCATTATAGGGTTTAGGACTTCACAGAAAGGGTTTCTTTTAGTATAGGACCCTTAAGAAAAGGGCCCAGTGGGTAATCATCTGCTAGTCTTCTGGACTGATCTGCCCTGGAGAAAATAGAGTTGGAGACTAAAAGCAGAAAGAAATTATGAAAGTGTGTTTTTTGTAATTGTGATTGTAAAAGTTTTTAGCAAATCAAACCCTAATCTTCTTCCAGACCTTCCACTTAAAAACAAATTAATTCCCTGAGATTTTAGAAACAGGTCCATCAACATCTGCTTCCCTCATGTGCTCTACGAGCTGCTTGTTGATGTCATGACATCAGAGTGGTCTTTTCATAATGTCATGGGTGCTCTCAGCGTAGTCAAGCATGACAAGGAAAAGGAAGAGGAACTAAAAAAACATGGTTCCCAGCCAGTGGTTTGTTCTTTTGTCAGGAAGCCTTTTTGGAGCTGACAGCATCACACAAACCTTTTGTTTTTCATGTGTTTTTGCCTCCTTTTGGCACTGCCTCTTTACCCTGAAGAGTGGTTCCAGTCCTCTAGCCTTCCTGTGGGCTACCCGGCCCTTTCTGTTCAATTCCTATGACCTGCCCTTCCAATCCTGAATTTTAGGCTGTCTTTTCAGTAGTATCTTCTAGCCCTTGGGATCCGGAATGTCCTTTTAAGTTTTGAAAATTTCTAGAACTTAGATCCTCTTCGACAAGGACCATTAGAAATGAGGGGAGGTAACAAAGTTAATATAATCCAGTTTCCTAGGACTTTCATCCATAAAACCGCTGTCTCCTAAGGATAACTCCAGAATTTATGCTGCAACATGTTTCTGTGTTTTGGGAGTGTCCCAGGGCCAAGAAGGACTTTTCTGACCCTCTTCCTCTGAAGATGGTCCTGAAGCACTGATTCATCTATAATGTGGCCCAGTGGCTTGGAACTTGAAGATTGTGAGGTCCCCATGTCCAGCTGTTTCCCAACATGTGGGAGCCTATGCTGTATAGTTGGTATTTTTTGGTTTTTGTTTTGTTTTGTTTTTAAAAAACCAGCCTGCCTGTGACTGGGCTTGTCATAGCTATAGAATGTTGGAGTTGGAAAGGACTTTGGAAATCATTTAGACCCACTCTTTCATTTTACAGAGGAGGAAACTGAGGCCTAGAGAGGGGAAAAGGCATTCAGGTTCACATTTAAGTGACAGGCTCTTAGTTGTGGAGAATGTAAGCCCTCTAAAAGGAAGGACTGCATTAATTTTTAGTATTTTTAGTGCCTAGTACAGTGGCTGGTGCTCAGGTATAATAAATGCTTGTTGACTTGAATTAGCCTTTCTCCCAAGCGCCTCTTAATTTTGTAGCTTGTAACATTTGACCTTATTGTCTGTCCAGGATTGGTGGAGGTAGAGAAGATTCTTTCTCTGGGGCCAGAACTCCATTGATAGGTCACCCCCCTGGATCCTTTAGGCAGAGGAATACCACTGTTTTGGTTTACTCTTTGATATTTTGGTCATTACAGCTTCAGTTAATGCCATATTCTTCCTTTCTCTTCTCCCTAACCTCCCTGCCCCAGCTCTGGTCCTTTGCTCCTGTTCCCTGCTTGAGATCTCCCATGGGACCTTAATTTTGATGGAAATTCCCTGGAGCATCCCATCTCAGATATTTCTCAGGTTATTAGCCTTATAACTTCTAGAGTATCTCTAGAGTGGTTCTCAGTTACCTGGCATCTTTGTAGTTGCCCCATGAGCTAGTCAGATGAGAGATTTAGGCTCCTTGGAAAGGCCAGACTTCTTTTTTAACATTTTTTTATTTTTTAGGCTGTTGGGGTTAAGTGACTTGCCCAGGGTCACATAGCTAGTAAGTGTCAAGTGTCTGGTCTGAGGCTGGATTTGAACTCAGGTCCTCCTGACAACGGGGCTGGTGCTGTATCCACTGCACCACCTAGCTGCCCCTCAGCCAGGTTTCTTTTATGGAAAACATGATGAAGAAAGAGAGGTCTTTTCCCCCTGGGTATATGTCATAATTCCAGCTATGGTTAATAAGTGCTGATATTCTCTCTGCCTTCTACTTGGTGAAAAAGTAATACTTGGCAGGCCAGGCTGGGATTTACACTGGTACAGACTCCCCCATTTCTGTTGAGGAATTCATTCTTCCAGTTATCCAGGTTTGTGACGCTGGGTGAATCTCAGGTTAGAGTTTAAATTGACCCTCCCTATCCCTCACCCCACCTATCCAGTTACCAAGTCTTATTTAATTCTCGTTCTACAACATCTCTTATATCTCTCCCCCTTTTTCCACTTACATAGTTATCACCTCAATTCAGGCCATTTTCACCTTTTTCCTGAACTACTAAAACAGCAATTTATCTCCTTGCCTCCAGTGTCCCCTCTCTCGTCCAATCTGGAAATGGAACTGGGGAAGTAGTGCATTCCAAGAAAGGGAAAAAAGCTTGTAGGAGTACATGGAGTAAAAAAATGGTGTTATCAAATTCGTGGAGCAGGCATAACATTTTTGAGGGGGATTATTATGAAATAAGGCTGGAAAAATAGTAAGAAACCAGATAGTGGAGGGCATCAAATGCCAGTCGGAGGCAATACCTCTAATGTCTCCTCTCCAATCTGTCCTTCCTTCAGCTGCTAAAGTAATTTTCCTGAGACATGTTGCTGACCAAGTCACTTACTTCACTGCTCAAAAGTTTCAGTGGCTCCCTATTGCCTCTATGATAAAATAGGATCTCCTCAGTCTGGCATTTGAGGCGTTCCACCCTCTGCTTCCTTACTTCTTTTTTCTGACTGTTTCTTACTACTCATTTCATAATAATCTCTTTTACAAACTTTATGTCCCATCCAAGAATTTGGTAACTCCATGTACGACAAGATTTTTCCCTTTCCTGGAATGGAATTCTTTTTTCAAAGTTCATTCTTTCCTAATCCCCCCGTTGCTAGGAATTTTCTTTTCTCTATTTGACTTGTATTTGATATCTCCTTAGTAGAAAGTGAGCTCTTGAGGGCAGGAATCATGTCATTTTTGTCTTTGTAATCTCCATGTTTGTACAGCACCTTGTGCATAGTAAATAGTTAAAATTTGTTGAATTGAATGACTGGTGTCCATGTATGGAGAGAGTAGAGACAGTTGATGATTACATCTCAGAATTACACTGTGACCAGCAAAGGAAAGATCCAACTTTGGGGTTTGCTTAGCCAGAGATCCCCTCAGCATTGGTTCATAGGACAAAATGAGCTTCCATTCGGTTTCTCTGCCTAATGTTGGGTGGTCTAATCTGAAGGCCCAAGGCCCCAAGCTCAGAACCTTCCTAATCACCCACTCTCCATCCTCTTTCTAGAAATGGCAGCGGAGATTCTTCATCCTCTATGAACACGGACTTCTGCGCTATGCTTTGGATGAAATGGTAAGCAACCTTTTTATTTTTAAGCTTTCCCCTTATATATATATGTGTGTGTGTGTGTGTGTGTGTGTTGTGTGTGTGTGTGTGTGTGTGTGTGTGTGTGTGTGTATTTTTTTTTTGCCCCTCTCCTTATTGATGAGACTACACCTTTGGGTTGTGTCTTGACCCAACTACAATGGGTTATTGTCACTGGTTGCTCTTTGGTTCGATGTGAAAAGCTTATGGCATTGGATAGGAAGTTCTTGGGTTTGATGTAGGTCTTAGGTTGGAAGGGTCTTATTCAGAGGTCATGGGGCTGAGAACAAAGTCCAAGAGAAAACCTCTTCTATCTAAGTGCTGATAAGCTTCTAGGTTCCACCAGAGCATGTCCAGGTAGAGAAGAGCTAAGAGTCAGAAGTTTACTTCATTTACATCTAAGAATTGAGCCTTCTTTGGAGTTTGTCTTGTAGCTTTGAGCTCTGGGTGATAAGCTGAAATTAAGGAATGCTGAATTTAAGCACGTTCATTGGTCTGGATGGGGATTAGTGTCTTCCCTATCTCAAAATCATTATTTGTCCTTTTTGCCTTAAGGTTTTCTAGGCCTTACTGAGCTGAGAGAAAGTCGGTGTATGTGGGGACTTTGGAGGAGGTAGTGGGCTGGTGGTCAGTATGTCCCTAGTCATACTGATATGATTGCTCCGCCAGTGACAGAAATACCTTTCTTCTCTGATATTTGGGGGCCCCCCCACCTGTTTTCCTTTGGGAACTGGGCCAGTAGGTGCTATTGTCATGTGATGCCCATCCCCACCCCCCACTCCCCATCAGGCCTCTTTTGGTAATGGTTGGGGGAAAAAACCAACAGCTCAAAAACCTATGATGTGAGCATAGTGCGACATAATTGTCTGTTGAGAAATGTCATAGGTGAAGATTTTAGAGAAACTTTAGATTTGTATGAACCGATACAGTGAAATAAACAGAAATAAGGGAACAACATTCACAGAGATTATAATACATAAATGAAAAAAATCAGCTTCCTTTTTATTGAAGTAATTTTCAAAACCTAGTGCAGGAAGGTCCTGAAGAATAGATAATAAAATGTATCTCCATCTAAGAGAGGGAAGGACTGTTAGGGCAGAATGTTGCATACATTGTCTATCAAAAGCAGTCACTGAATGAGAGTTGTCTTTGTCACAAGGGAGGGTTTAATCTGGACAGGGAAAGTCTTATTTTTCCCTTAGGAATGAGCAAGACTTAAACATCAAAGACATCAATAAAACTTTTTTTTTTTTGGCTAGGCAGTGGGGATAAGTGACTTGCCCAGGGTCACACAGCTAGTAAGTGTTATGTGTCTGAGGTTGGATTTGAACTCAGGTCCTCCTGCATCCAGGACTGGTGCTCTATCCACTGTACCACCTAGCTGCCCCAATAAAACATGTTTTTTAAAAAAAATCAGGTCCCCTTCCTCTAGAATACTCAGGTTGAACAGAATTGTTCCTTTCTCTTTCCCCTCTCTCCAACCTTTATTCTGTTAGCCTGGTCAGCTTCCCTTTCAGTTTGAAGCCTGGCCTTTGGGAAGGGTTCGAGGCTAGGTTATTCTCTTTCTGATGTATATGTGGAAGGAGAAGAGGGGGACAAATGGAAGAATCGTTCAACCAGTCCAAGCAGTTCAGTAAGAATTGATTAAGTACTTAACTGAGTACCAGGCAGTATGGTAATTGCTGGAGATAACATAATAAGAATTAAACAGTCCCTGCCCACAAGGAGTTTATATTCCTCTGGGGAGGCAATATATATCCCTGTATAAGATAGGCAGAACTCTTGCCTAGCTAAAGTTCCTTGTTTAGCACTATAGATATAAAATTATAGAGGAAGGAGTAACCTTTAAAGATCACTTGGTACAACCATATCATTTAAAAAAAAATCATTGCCCTTTTTATATCATAAGTCTTTTAGAAAAATAAATTGTTTTAAAATTTGTGGGAGTAAGTGGCGCAGCACCCACATAATCTGGAAAATTTGCATAAAATTTTTTGGCCCTTCCTTTGAACCAGAGAAGAATTCTTTATTATTGGCCCTTCCTTCATACCAGGGAAGAATTATTTATTATTATGGTATTAAAAGGTAAAATATCTTGATATTATTTACTGCTATACACATATTTTATGCATTTCTGAATTTCTAAACTTTTTCCTGTTGTCTTCTGGTCTTTGTGTGTCATCTGTGGTTTCTGCAAAACTTCAAAATTCCTGTTTAATTTCTTATGCCGACCCTCCGTATATTGAAAACGGGATGGGAAAGTTGCGATGTGGAAGAGATAACTGTATTTTATTTTCCCCCACTTACCTGTAGAGACAATTTTAAACATTCCTTTTAAAAAATTTTCATCATAAGTATTTACCTTTTTACTTCCCCTCCTCCCATGGAACATAATAGGAAAAAAATTAAGCAAAACCAAACACTCCATCAACCACATCTGGCAGTATATATAGCATTCCTACCCATAGGTCCCACCTCTATAATGAAAATATGTTTCATCATGTATTCTTCAGGGCCAAGATTGGTTGTTACAACACAACCCCCTCATTTTTCAACTTAGAGCAGCAGGTTTCAAAGTGTAGATGAAGGGCTGCTGATGAGTGTGCAGGAATCTTCCAGCTTCCTTCTGTTCTTTGTGCATTTTAAAAAAATGTTTCAGTGACCCTCCTCCTCCTCCTCCTCCTAATTACCATAACAGTCCTCTCCCAATTTATCCCAATTTAGTAGTATTTAGAGTAGTATTACTTGTTCATTCCACTCATGGAAATCTTGAATGAGTTGGGTTTTGTCCTTGGCTTGTCATGTTTATAAATGAGTTACTTTGCTGATGCTGTTCAGTGTTTCATATCTCTTCATTGGCTGCTAATTCCCACTAATGTCATTCTTCCCATGTGCCTGCTGAGTGTTTCTAGTGGCAGTCAGGAGCCTGGGGTGAGGGGGGGGTATCGAGGATGCCCATTGACCAAAAAATAAAAGTTTGAGAATTATTGACTTAGGGAGGAGGGCAGTGAGAGAGGGAATGTGCTCCAGTTAGTACAGGATTTATGTTGTAGTTAAGGAACCTGGAAAACAAATTCTTTGGTTCATTATCCCTCTGGTAAAAAGGAATCTGAGCTTGTCAGACCCTTGGCTCTGTGTGTGTGTGTGTGTGGTGTGTTGTGTGTGTGTGTGGTGTGTGTGTGTGTGTCCTGCTGACATTTTTTCAGAGTGTGGCATTGCTTTTAGTTTGAGGCCCAGCCTCCTAAACTGCTTTGAGATTTCCTTTTGTCTAACCAGGGCTGGCCTTTGCTTCAGGTCAGCCACAGTTTCATCGTTCCAGAAAGGGTCAGGGAGGGTCTTTAGAGCCATTTCTTTGTATGTGTGTGTATTATTGCCGACAAAGGTGTTTACTGCCCTTCTTAAAGATGACAGATTCCCTTAGAAACCTGTTATTTTGGTTAAGAAGGCTTTCCCTAAGTCTGTCCTAAATCCATCCAAATGGTTTAGTCTCTCTGCCTTTGCACTTTCCATGTCTGATGTTCGCTTTTGTCTCTTGGGCTCAGTTGCATGATCATAGGGTGGGGAGCTGCTCCAAAAGGCTTTTGTGATGCCGAGCACGTAGCACCACAACCCAAGAACCTTGTTTCTGGAGTTGAACCCAAGTCTTCTAAATAATTGAGGTTGCTCAGCAAGGAACACCGGCACCCTGTGATCAATTTTTAGTCTCCCAGCAACCTGGACAATTGCTGGGATGTTATTTCATGTCCAGCCAGGATGGAGAAGAGACTCTTTGCCAGCCACGTGGATGAAGAAGAGGAGCCCTTAGAACCACCTATGGCTAAAAAGGAAAGAAAAGAGGGAATATTGGGGCCAGGTCACATAGTGGATTTCCATCCCTCTGTAATTAAAAAAAAAAACACCAACCTTTGTTTATTGGAGGCTATTACTTGGCTCTTGACCTTTTCTAGGAGTTGAAAAGGCTAACCTGGGGAGAGTGCCGGGGGATGAAAGAGAAGAAGCGGGTTGTTCCCTCCCCTCCCCCAATTCCCTGGTTGTCCATCTAATTATCATTTTTTGTGATTATACCTGATACTGTGAAGATGCTCTAATATACCCTAAAATATTTATATGGTCCATTAGAGTTGTGTTCAAATCATTGGTTAGGGCTGGAAAGACATATGGTTTATATTCCATCCAGAAAAGGGGTTTTCTGGGGTTGTTCTTTGAACATTGGAAACGGTTTGACTAAGGAGAGATGGGACTTAAATAGGGACAGATTTTAGGAGGAGGGGGGAATGTGGCTCTTTTGTTGGTTTTTAGGTAATTGGGGTTAAGTGACTTGCTTAGGGTCACACAGCTAGTAGATATCTGAGGCCAGATTTGAACTCGGGTCCTCCTCCTCACTCCAGGGCTGGTATTCTATCCACTGTGCCGTCAGCTGCCATGGAATGTGTTCTTCAAAAGCAAAAGAATGAATTAGAATAGGCCCAAGCTTACCACTGTCTCCCCTGAATTTATTTGTGAAGGTGTGTGTGTGTGGGAGAGCAAGAGAGCAGGATAGGAAATGAAGAAAATTGTGACAAAATTTTATAATTGTTAGGAAGTGTGGCAGGTCATTGAAAGGAAACATCAATTCAGACTTGACATTAGGGCAAATGATCTCTCACCTGGAAGTTTAACAGAAGGGCCAATCAGCAAATACTGATAACCATGTTTTAGGCACAGGTTGGGCCATAGCTACTTACTGTAGAAGTCCTTTGGAACTGTGGGATTTTGTGAGTGCCTGTCTTGCATAAGGCACCTTGCCTGAGAGAGAAGTTCACGTTAATGAGAATATAATCCTATACCAGTGAGTTGATAGGTGCCAAGTGAGATGAGTACAGGCATTACATCAGAGATATTGCAGGTTCGGTTTCAGACCACTGCAATAAAGCAAAAAGTGTAATAAAGCAAGTCACACAAATATTTTGGTTTCCCAGTGCATATAAAAGTTATATTTACACTGTACT